TCCTATGTCGGGTAGTAACTTCATGTTGTTTGTGTTCATGTTTGTTGAAGGTTAAAAGGAGAAATTTTAATTATAGTTTAAGTATTAATGATTTATGGTCCATTTTAGTTTATTAATTTTGTTGATTATTTTAATACTTATGGTAGTATTCTTTGAAATTTAAGTTGAGTTAGAAGACTTTAGAAAGTTTAGAATAATTCTGCCCGCTAAGTTAAAGGATCCAAAAGGTCACTTTTATAAATAGGTAAGGTTTTGGAGTTACAATATTTTAATTAAACATAAGAGTTTACAGGAAATAATTAGACTTTAAGTTTGTTGGATTTGGAGTTTTTTTAGGCAAAGATACGAATTTTAGAAGTTTTGGGCCCTAGTTAATGAACTACAATTGAACGTAGAGTTTAATTTTTAATTTAAGTGGGTTTCTAGACTTCTAATATTTTTAATAAATATTAGATTTTAATTAGAGTTGAATTCATTTTAATTTAACCAATTTTTTCTGGAATTAATTATGATTTTGAAAGTTGGGGCAATTAATAAATTATTAAAATTGTTTAATCAAACTGTATTTTAAGGGTTTTGATGCAAATTAGCTCCAAACTTCTTTGAATCACACCCAAAAGTTAGAAATACCCAAAGTTCTATTCCCAAGTGTTTGGAAAAAAATTAGATTTTTTAATAATATTTAATTATTTAATTTAATTAGAAAAGTAAATTTTAATCAAAATTAAATTAAGGTTCAAATTAAAGTCCAATTAAGGATGTTTTAATTTTTTGAGATTAAGCATTGAATTTTGAAGACTTTAATATATTATGGGCAATTTTTAGATTTAATTTCAATTTTTTATAATTTTTTGAGGTTATCGAGGCTTTATTAAAGGGGTAAATTAGGGTTTATTAATTAAGGGGCCTAAAGGATCCTAAAAATTCCTAGAAACTTTTGAGAGGTTTAGGATGCCACTAAGTTCAAGTTTCAAAAATTTCATTTCAATCGGAGATGTACCCTAGCTCCAAGAATTTATCTAAGTTTGGTAGATTGATCCTTAATTATTATCCTTAAGGTGTCGGTACATTAAGTAGATTCGAATCAAGTGTTTAAGACTAACCCTTGGGGTAAAATAAGGGAGAATATAACAAGAACGTTACACACCATGTCCTTAGATTTACAAGGGCCTAATCAAAGTACTTATGCATCCTGCACATCCCAAAGATGACTAAACACTAAATAAACATGATTAATGATGTGATTAGTGAATTATTGGAGCTCAATCATTCACTAATCCTCCCCCCTCGAATGCCAATTACATGTATAACCTATGCTTAAAATTTTATAAAGTATATCTCTCAAAATTAGGTGAATTTAATATATCTAGTTTTAAAATCATAAAAAATACATATATAATTTAAATATTTATTTATAAATTTAAAATATTATTTAAATAATTTTAAAATACATAATATATTTATAGGCAATTTTAATTTTAAATTAAAAAGAATAAAATTCTAAAAATTTTGATATGTTATATACATTTTTTAAATTTTTAAATAATTTTAAATTAATTTTAAAACAAAATCTAATTTAAAAAATCTTTAAAAAAATAATTTAAAATTAAAAAGGCAGTGGGTGACACCTTGTGGCACTAGATTAGCTATGCGGTCCATGGGAGATCATTGCCTGGCAGCGCAATGATTGCACCACTAGCAATAATTATCACATGAATGCGGCAATGATTGTCGTGAACGTGGACCGCTACTTAGCCACATAGGCAAGCCTCCGGAGCTTTCTAATTCCTTGCATTTTGAGATGAATGGCCCTGATTGTGTTAGATGATGGATCTAAAAATTAGTTCAATCTTATAGTTCGGAAGATACCACAGAGCGACGGGATCTCTACCATTGATCAAACAATCAATGGTGGAGATCTTGTACACTAATCGCCAACACCTGAAACACCCTAAGAAACTTATTTTTTTCTTATTTGATCGATTTTCTCGATTAATCTAGATGAGATTTTAAATTTAAGATCCATAGATGAAGAGCATTCATGGGGGAATTTTTTGTGGTCTAAAATGTGCTTAACATAAAGCTAATTAACCCTAAGTGCCCTAGACTAGGGCTTCCAATTTTACCTAATCCAATTGATGGATTCATGAGATCTTGGGCCTATTGAACTTGTAGATTGTCCATGCTCCTATTTGTAGAAGAAATTGTGTTTTGAAACGTGGTGGATTAGTGCGAAATCGCCTTATAAGTTATTTAGCCTTAGTTCACCAAAGATCTCACTATCGGCGGGGTCTTGATGGCAAATTTGGCTTGGGAAAAGTGGAGAGGGCTTTGGAGAGCTCACACATGAGAAAGCTTGGGCTAGGAAGGCTTAGGGAGAAAATATGAGAAATGGTTTCTTACATGAATCCCTAATATCCCTATTTATTATCATAGGCTTGTGATCAATGGCCTACATCACTTCTAGTGTTAATTAGGAGATAATGGAGCTCCCTAGCCATTGTTTTGGGCTAAGGGCTCAATTGGAATGGTTTAAATGCATTAAAAGGGGTTAATTTGACTTAAATAGGTCAAATTTCACCCCACAAGGCTTGGGCTGACCACGCCAAGGGTTGGCCTGGTCAACATGATCAATTAGATTCAAATATGTGAGGGGTTTAACCAAGGATATATTAGATTTGAATTAGAACAAAACTAGGCTCAATTAAGCTAATTGGTTCAACCTACGTTGACTTGGTCAACTAGGTTGACTTAAGGCATGGGTCTAGGCCCAATGGGTCAGGTATGACCTCTATAACCTAAGGAAGGCATGAGATTATGCCAAGGAGGTTTAAATTTGATTTGAATTTGAATGACAAGGGATTTGGGTCAATTGGATCTACCTAGGTTGACTTAGTCAACCAGGTTGACCCAGGGCCTGGGTTTGGGCTCAACAGACTTGGTTTGACCTATTAAATATAAGGGAGGTGGTCTTGGGGCTCGGCTTGGTCAATTTGACAAAGTCAACCCCATTGACTAAGGGCTTGATGAATTTAAGGTCAACATGGGGTTGTTATTGGTGGTGCCAATTTTTAGATCTTTGGGTTACGACTTTAGATGGCACTGTAGCTTTAATTGTAGACGTTTGACTGCTCGACAATTATTGATTTCCTCTAACTCCTTTTTTTTATCTTGTGCTTTGGTTGATCTTCTTTTTGTATTGTTTTGGTTTTTATTTTTAGGTGAATTCTGAGGCTTTTAGGTTTTTATCATTCATATGTTGTATTTTTGCATGATTTGGAGTCATTATGGACTTGTTCTATTTTCTCTTCATTAATGCTTAGGCATCTTCTGTGGGTTTTTACCCAAAAAAAAGAAAAAAAAAGGCATGGCGATATAACTCGAGGCGCATGAAAAAAATATGATATTTGGGATATTGTGATATCTAAGGAGATGTGTATCATTCAATAAAGGTGTGATTAATTGAGTATTGATCATATATTTATTAGAAATCCAACAACTGTAATAAAGATACAAAATTATTGATTCAAAATTAAGGGATAATCATATTCACTATATCAAAATTTAAATTTAGATTTTGGTAAACTAAAAATTTCTAAAAAAAAATCCTTAGTTTGTTTATTTGCCCCGTTAAAATTTTTATTAGTAAACTAACTCTAATGGTTAAAAAATTGGGTATTTAGATTATAAGATCAGTATGCTGATTCTCCGAGGGAATGATACTTTTCTAATTCATTTTTTTACTTGATCGACACTTACACTTGCATAATATCATTTAGCTCGGTTAAATGTTGGCATTGTAACTTCAAAATTGATGCCTACTTTTATTAAGTTAATATTGAATTTTAGATCACAAATTTAATATTTGTTTTTTATTTTATTATTATTATTATTGTTATATTTGTAGTACTATGTTTTATTTCAATTATTTCAAACTTTTTAATAATTTGTGTTTTAATAAATTATTTATGGAGTTTCAAGAGCCATCTTGTTGTTGTTTGATTTTCTGATTGATATTTTTGCTTTAGATGGATCAGTGACTTCTTATTATTCTGTTCGGTCTTCAATATTATTTGTAGTGTTCTGTATATTGGCATAATCAGTTTTTCTAGGGTGATGTCGGCTAAATGTCATTTTTGCGCTTTTCCTTTTGGCCTTTATGTGGGGCTGATTCATTTTCAAGAATACACGCTTCTAATGGATGGTGAAGAGTTAATGCTTTCTTTAGATAACTCTAATGAGCTTCAATTCCTAATTCTTTTCAAATTGATTTGTTATTAATATGCTTTTTCATGCTTCTCCCTCTTTTGCAGTCTCTTTTTCTTGACGGATCTTTCGACTGAAGTTGTTCTGGATGAGCTGATTATTTTTTGCAGGATGTTTGAGCTTAATTTTCTATATCTTAACTTCCTTTTTTTCATACTGTCTACTTGTAGTTCTATAATGATATTAGGATAGTTTTTTTTCTTAGTATAGGGAACCATCAACTTTTAGGCTTTATTTTATTTTTTTATATCCTCTGTTGAGCATTAGTGAACTGAACGTTCTCTTTAAGGACCTTTTAAACTTTCCTTTATTTTAATGTGTAGACCCCTCTGAGGATGTACCAAAAGAATTAATAATAAATAAACTAAAAGACCCTTAACAAAATTGAAAGATTGAATTATTATTTTTTTAATTAAGAATCATGGAAACTCCATTTAAAGAAGATGTGAAACTTTGAAAGTTTAGCCTACCAATATCAATATAGTATAAAATTCATAAATTAAGTGATATCCTATTGAGGTTTCCATATATACATTACAAGGTTCTTAAAGACATGCTCAACCTTCAAGTATAATGCTATATCTAATTATGCCATTAGATTGAGGTTGTTTCCATTTTCTCTATGGTATAAAGTAATGTTATGGTTGAATTTCTTATCCCCAGGCTCAATAACCATAAGAAATGATTTTTCATAAAAATTAATAAATAAATGTTTCCCTCTATTTAAATTTGCTATGCTTAGAAATGACATCATATGTCGTACCTAGTTAGATGGGGAGTATATTTATGAAGCTTGGGATTGTTTTAAGGAGTTGTTAAGGAATTGTCCTCACAATGACCTATCCAACAAATTAATTATTCATGAATTTTGTTACGATATGTAGGTTATTTTAGCTCTATCATAGATGTAATTTCTAAAGAATAATTAGTGTTAAAACCACATGATGAAGCATAAAAATTGATTGAAAAAATTACAACTAATAACTTTCTATGACCATTTGAATGATTCTGGCCTAAAAAGGTTGCTAGAATGTACTATTCAAATGTTTTATCGAGTCTAACATTACAATTTATTGTATTTCTAAGTAGTTGATAACCTTGGTATTAATTCAAATTAGGGAGCACCTTTGAATATAGATTATAATTTATTTGGGAAACTTGTTGAGTCTTATTATTTCAGAGTTGAATCATTAAAAATGGTTAATAATAGACAAAATAATCCCTACTCTAATACATATAATCCTAGTTATAAGAGTCACTTAAACTTTAGTTGGAATAACAATCAAAATTTAGGGAATAATTGGAATAATAACAAACCTAATCCTATAGTGAACGAGAATCATCCTTAAGAAAATTTTGGTAATCCCAACCAAGCTATCCTATATTGATAACATTTATAATAAGGTTTAAACATTATTCCTAAAAAACCTTAGTACTTTGGGGGGCGACAAGGGTGGAGCATAGGGTTTTCAACTTATACTAAACTCAAATGAACTAGACATTTACCAAACCATTTTCATGATACATTGGAATATCCAAAGGCCATTTAATGAAATTCAATGGGCAAAACCTAAACAAAAATTAATATTTCATATATTTATAACCCATGCTACTCAAGGTGGCATTTCATGTTATTTTTAAACCAAAACCCTTGGGAATGACCTAAACCCTTATATATTCATCTACCAAGTGGACTGGTCCCTTTGGGACAAATGGTCAACACTTAGTTGATCAAGTTTGACCAAGGAAACCTTAAAATCCTAAATTTCTACAAATGGTATTTCTTGAGAAAAATAAAATTCCAAACCCTAAGATAGTCTCCCATGGTTGACTAGGTGAACCATATGTGCATAATTCTACCTAAAAAACCATTTTAATGATTAAATGTATTCCATCATTGACATGTCATCCCAAACCATCTAAAAACTTCTACAAACTCCCAAAAACTTATTAGAACCCATGGTTAACCATTATTGACCAAGTTGACCATGAAAAGCTCTCTTGGCCCATACACCTAATCCCTTTAATTAAACCTAAATGTGTTTAAAATAGGGTCTTTGAACCATTATAATAGCATGTTCACCTATTAATCTACTTGCTCTAACCAGCTCAAGCTGTGGGCTTGCATGGGTGTCCAAATTAGGATAACCCAAGTCAAGAAAAATTGTCTAAAACCCATTTTAAATGCAATTGTTTTACCTTCCAAATTGGAAAAAAAAACCCAATTTAAATGAAATGCCCTACCTAAACCCTAGCCATGTGACTTATTTGATGCATTGAACTTATAAGAACCAAACCTAGATAAACTTAGGTGGTGACTTGGATCTCCAAGAATTGGGTGGAATATTTTTGGATCTAATCCATTTGCACTCAAACATGACCATATGGTAAAATTAGATGGAATTAAGCTCCTATCTCACTCTTTCCATATTTCCTTGAGTCTATTTGTCAATCTTGAAACATGCACATAATAGAGTATAACTTCTTCTGGCCAAAAATTTAAGTGACCAGACACACCTAAGAGGGATAAGTGATGTGAATTGGCTTCTTTTAAAATTAAGATCCTTCAAAAAAATAACAATTATAAATTGAATTAAAAATAAAATGCATGCACATTCAAATCAATAAAGGATAGGGTTTCATTGCCTGGTAGAAGCCCAAGGCGAAGCCTCTAAAGCCTAGTCTTGCTAATTGCATATTGAACTAGAACCTCCTTAGATTACCCCTCATGGTTCATGGAAACTCCATAATTACATTCCATGCACTCATCATGACACATTGAGCAAAACTTTTTTGTACAGTTTGGGACATAATGCAAACTTGTTCATGATTATTATTTGAATAATTTGAACCCATTAAGATTTGTGGTTGAAAAAGTTTGACCTAGGTTGACCAAGTTTGAACTTTATACATTTTAAACCCTAAATTAAAAAAAAAATCATGAAAAATGATTCAAGCATTATTCTAAACCGTTGGATTGATCCCTCGGACTTCTACATTCATCCTTAAGCATACCAACAACCATTTGAAGCAGTGGCTGACTATGATTGGTCAAGTTAACCATTTGGACTCCTTTTGACCTAAAGTGTTAAATCATGAATCTAATACATTTCAAATCTTGGCCATATATCCTAAACATTTCAAACACTGATATTTTAGTTTAATTCATTGGAACACATGGTTAGTCAGGGTTGACCAAATTCAACAAGGTTGACCATTTGTCCCTAAATTTACATTTCTTGTTTTAAACCTATTCCAAGCTTTAATATGCCTCTCAAACTCTTTTAAGCATCATATAAAATTCCCCAAACCCTATGGATCTAATCATTAGATTAGGTTAATCTTGGTTGACTAAGTCAACCTAGTCTGACCAAATACACCATATGACTAAATCCATTAAATTTAAGTCAACCCTCTTGAACCTTGGCCATCAAAACTTCTAATAGGTGCCTAGAGTCCATATGAACTCCACAATGCCTTCCCACCACATGGAATGATTTCGGATAGCAAAATGGGCTAACCCAATAAACGTAAGAGGGTTCTCATGAGCCATTTCCCTTCTGAGACCAAATTAGTTTAAACAAATGCATGTAAAGCCTACCCCTAACTTCCTTGAACATCATGAGCATGCTCATCCCTTGGCCTTGCTTGGTTTAGCCAAATTGGCTAACCCAAGATCACCTAATTAAGTTGAAAATAACTATTTTACACTCTTAAGACAATTTGGCCAAGACCAAAGCTATAATCTCTTTACTTACACCCCATGACTAAAACCAATCCATCATATTTCTTGGATTAGTTTAGTGGCCTAAAACTTGTTAAAACATAGTAATATTTGCTTTGTTTAATTTAAATATATATGGCGACTCATCCCATGTACCCTGCCTTCCCCAGCCAACTACCCTTATCTCATGCATCCATTCAGTATAGGCCAAATAGCCTAGTATGATTCGTGATAGCATAAATTCTATCCAAATACATATTTGATCAAGCTAAAAATGTCCTAACTTTTCCTAAATAAGGGCTATATTATTAAATTCCAATAGCTTCATGAAAGATCACAGTGTTTTTCCTGAGCTTCCTCTATCCCCAATGTCATATGAGTGTGAATTTGATTGAGCTCTAGTGAGGTTTAATTGATGAAATTCCACTTTGTAATATAGTTTTCTCCAGTCCTTAAATTTTGAAGGAGGATTTCTCCCTTGACCTAAAAGAGAACCCTCTATGAAAAGGTCCCTTGAATTCCCTCTGAATCAAGATCCCTTGAATTTGATAAGGTAATTTTGAAACCTGAGATATAATTAGTAGGGGGGATATGACATTTTGAAGAGAATGGTCATTCCAATATAATATAGTAGTTACAATGATATTTCTATGCATGTAGATAATACATAAAAAATTGAATAAAGATCTAGAACATGAAATGTAAGAATTAATCAAAAAAATATGCATATTTCATAATCGAGGCAAGTGATTAAAGATGAAATATGAACTACCTATTTCATTCCAATATATGGAATGACTCTATCATGTTAGATTAGACTCATTTTGATGGTGATATGATTTGAGGCTTGGATAAAATGACAGACATGAATGCTATTACGGTAATAAACCACGCCAGTACTTAAATGTCCAATTAAACCATTATTTGAAAAAGTGCTTACATTGATATATGCTTACTATGCATAAACCTAAATTAAATGAATATTAATGTACAAATTTAAGAAAGTTCTTATCTCTTATTTCACTAAGCTAAATTAGTCAAATAAACCAACTATAGATTTAGTCAAAAAATCCCTATCCAATAAATAAAAAATCAAGAGAAGAGGGGAAGTTTTTATAGGATAATTAGATAAGTGATTAGGTTATATCATATAATTTTTATGCTTAGAAATATTAAATTCAAATTAAAATTTTGCTAGAGCTAACTCTAGGATAAGTACATCAACCTAAATTTACTTAAGTTAATTTGAATCAAGCACAAGCTTGAACTAATTTTTTTAAAATTCATAGGTCAATTTTTATCCGTGAATTTAAAAATTAATTGTAAATGAACCATTAATAATCATTTCATGATATATATATATATATATATATATATATTGTATACACTATCTTGAGGGTTAGTTAGCTATTGATTTAATCCTTATTCATTTTCTAGCTTACCCTAATTAATTCTCCAAATGTATAGATATATTTACCTTTAGACCAATTGTAGTGACTGGAATATCATGGTTGTTTGCTTTTTTCTTGCCAAATCTTACTGCATTTCCCACATTTGGTGGTCATTTTGTGTGTCGTATTTCCTTCTTTGGGCCACTGGGATCAGTTTTATCTTAATAATAAAACTGCTTTACTCTTTTATTGGGCTATTCACTATCGGATTCACTCTCTTTATTAATCTTAAATTATTTTGGTTCTTTGGTATCATTATACTATTGTTATGCATTTGAAATTGAGAGGTATCATTATTGTTCTGTTCTAAATTCTTATTGTGCTTTGGACAATTCTCTTTTGGGCTTGGCCATGGTGTATCCAATTGTATCTCTTCTAATTTCTATACCAATTTTGTGGTTTTATGTTGCCTGTACTATTTTAATTTAATTGCTAAGTTGTTGGATTTGATTACAACATTGAGCAGGATTACTGAATCTATCATTTTGAGGTCTAGCAATCACACCTTTTTATTGATTGTCTCAGTAATTTCAACCATTTTCATGATGGGATTAAGATTTCACATGGTATACTTATCATAATTTATACATGCTGCTATGTTATTTCTATGCTATTATGTGCTCCACCACTTCATTTTGTAGATTATATTTTGTACAATTGGATTGG